TAGATTTAAAGTGAACAGAGATTACAGTACCACGCTGACATCCAGCTGAAATACAAAACTAATGTAGTTCAGCTTCCTGGGCGGTGGTCCTTACTGTGGTCCTTTTATGTCTTTATTGGAGATTCAGAAAGCAGGTAGAGAGAGAGTGGGGAATGAGATGTGGGAAAGAACCACAGGTTGGATTAATTGGGCGTGCGCAGTAACCACTTGGATACCAGCGCCCCCTGAAGTGATCCTTAATGTGACTCTGCCTCTCTTCCCGTCTCCTTTAGTACCTGATCCAACTCATCAGTGCAGCTTGTTTGTATCTTCATCTTATTTGTCCGTCTGATGTGACTCCCTGCTTGGTATTTGACCCTGGTCTAGTTTTAGGATTTAATATAAATGTCTTTCAATTATCCTTCCTGTGTCTCTTCAATCCTGCACTGAATAATGACAATAACAAGGTCTTGAACCTCAAACATTAAAGCAATATGTTAATATTTAACAGAAATCATGACCTTTGGACCAACAGTTTTATATCTAGAGGGATATAAAACAAAGTCCTTCATGCCTGTAGGGATCAAACCACGTCATAAAACCGACCTTTGCTCAGATAGATGTTTTATTGAGGCTGTATTTAGTGATTACATTTTATTAGGATGCATTATTTTTAATGTCTACTTTGAGGAAGTGGAGAATATCTAGCTTATAAAATTAAATACTGTGGAACATAAGCACTGTCGTCCTCAGGACTTTATTTAATCTGAGAGAAAACCAGTAACGCTGACTGCTAGTTTAGACCGCAGGAGTCATGACAAACATCTCTGATTAAGGACGATTTAGATTTTTAGCTACACAACTTTTACTTGACTTTACTTTTCAAACAAAAGCTGAGAAACAACAAGTACTCCACATTCACAGAGCTGATCCCGTACTGTATCTGATCCGTTTCCTTTGCTTTTCTATTCAAAGTGTATTACTCAATATTAACCTGAGGTTTTAACAGTAAAGTCATAATAATGTTGAATTAAACTCACCCTGTCTCAGATGTTTGTCCTTCTGCTCTGTCGACTCAAAATGGAGTCTTAGCTCCGACTGACAGAAACTTTCAGTTTTATTGTTTTATTGGAAACCCATATCAGCTCAGAGTTTCTCCTCCCCTTGTTACTAGAAATGAAATGAATGGTTAACCATCATCAGTTCAGGTTTCTTCATGACCTCTCTGCTGAGCTCACAGTAAAATGCATTAATTCAAACTAACTAGGTTGAGATAGTCAGTCAGAAAACTTCAAAAAGTAAGCTGGGATCACCTCCCTTCAGCAATGTTGTGGATGTCAGACGTGTGGAGAAACAGTTCCCAGATGATCCATGATCTGTTCAGATCACCCCGCATGGTACCGGGCAACATGTGATCCATGGATCAGAGGAAAATGTATCTTCAAGGTGTAAAATAAATACACTGGCGTTATATCCCAATTCAATATCTGAGTGAAAAGAAGTCAGTGTTAAAGTTGTTCAGGTGGGCACAAACAGGAAGTCATTTCAGTCTTTTAAAATACATTTTATGTATGTTTTATTTCAGACAGAAACAGGTCATAACGTGTCAATATTTCATTGTGAAAGATAACTTTTTAAATGTCTATTAGATGTTAGAAACATTAAAAGAAGAATAGTAGAAGTTGATCTGAGTGATAGGGCTGGGCCTCAAATCAACATCACGATTAATTGAACAGTTTACCTTGATTATGATTCATGAAAGATTATTTTGTTATTGTTTTTTGCCCTCATAGTTCACTGACATATGCTCAACTTATAGCTGGAAAAGGTTTTTCTAATGAAAGAGTATATAATTTTATGATTTTAAAGAAATGAAGGAAACACCCACAGATGAAATATTTATGGATACTTATTGAATATTTGAACTGAAATCAAAGCATCAGTTGAACTGAAAATTTCACATTTTAGCTTTAAAGTAAAAATCAACTTCTCTAAAACAGTGGAAATAAAATAACTAATATCTCCTTAAACAAAATCCACTTTAAACATGTGAAGGTGCCATGTGTTGCACCTTCACTAATGCTTCCTTTTCTTTCAGCTGTAAGAAAAAGCACGGACTATCTTCTTATACCCATTGCCCTCTCCATACTTGATCTTTCATTTTCTGAAATAAACAAAGAAATTATATTATTGATGGATTCAGTGCCTAACAACAACATCAGTACAGAAAAGAAAAGGACAATAAACATAAGGCACACAACATAAGAAAAACATTTAGACATTATCAGAAGTCTTTTTATCTGGTCTTTTTTCTTGTATAATCTTAGAAGATGTTGAACACATAATATAAAAATAATTAAAAATAATAACAGTATTCGAACACTTAACTGCCATTGGATTATGTAATTTTATTATAAATAAATAATTGATTAAAATGTTTTGGATAACGAGTGAATCAATTGACGCTGGAGAGGTGCCAGGGCACCTCCTGAGCACTGCCAAGGTGCCCTTGAGCAAGGCACCAAACCCCCAACTGCTCTGGTGCACTCTCTGCTTAGCAGCTTGTAGCAGCCCCACTCTGACATCTCTCCACCATTGCATGTCCACAGGTCCTGTTTGTGCATGCGTGTGATTCATGTGTGTGAGAAGCATGTCCCTAAAAATAACAAATTTCCCTCAAGGATTAATAAAGTTTATCAAAATACAATCAAAAAATAAAAATAAGGGTCAGTGATAAATAAGGGTTGTTCAGATGACCAATTCAAAAATCTTTTAAAAACACACTTTGAAAGCATGCATCAGGTTCATTAAAATGTGAGATTTGTATTCATGTTGGTTTTGTGTTTTTTAAAATGACATTTACACCATTTTGTTCAAAAGGTAAGACAGAATGGACATAAAAATGTCAAGTGGTGTAACCACTGAAAAATTAAGAATATTGAATATTTTATACATCTAGAGTATGTGAGTGTAAGTGTACTCATGATTGTAATTACTTCATTTTAAAATAGCACAAGAAATTAGATTTTATTAGGATTATCCCTAAATTTATAAGTTATGCCCTTTTTCAATAGTGAGCGGGACACAGAGCTGAAAACACTTCTGTTTTCTCATTAATTTTTGGCAAATTAGGTAAAAATTGTTAAAATAAAAACATGTTATTTCACTGCAATAGAGGACTACTTTTAATCCACTTTAATTGTCCTGTATTTTATTATATGTTTATGAGAAATACTGGTTACACCAATTGACTCAAACCAGTTACACCAACTGACCATGCTGCTTCTACCATTGTTTCTTGAAGAAATTGTTGTTAGCTTCCTCCATTTTATGTTTGCTCCACCTTCCAAAGTGCACAGAATACCAGTGCAAACCTGTAGTGTGCACATTTGCCTTAAACACAGAATGTAACTGAAGTGAATAGATCGGCCTTTTGGATGGGTCTCATAGATCGGCAGATTCTTACTGATAAATATTTTATCTTCTGTTCCCAATAGCTGTTTACAACCACACATACATTGCACGCATTAGACTAAACGTGTTCCTGTATTCTCTCACGGAAAAGTTTGAAATGTAAAGTTGTTTTGTTTCTTTGTTCCTTCTTGATTTCTGTCGATCCTTCTAGTGATGTGTCGGTCATGAAGGATTCGTTTAAAACGAATCATCTGGGTGAACGAACTGAACTGAATCACTTACTGAGAAGAGTCGTTCATTTCTCAACTCTCTCTCCTCTCTCCCGTCTCTCTCTCTCTCCAGACCGTAAGAGTCTCTCAAAGCCCGCCCTCCCTCTCCTCTCATGTCAGTGATACCTACTGACTGAACCAATAGGAGGAGTCGGTCAGGAGCTCTGTGTCTCTAAAGCCCGCCCTCCCTCTCCTCTCATGTCAGTGATACCTACTGACTGAACCAATAGGAGGAGTCGGTCGGGAGCTCTGTGTCACTAAAGCCCGCCCTCCCTCTCCTCTCATGTCAGTGATACCTACTGACTGAACCAATAGGAGGAGTCGGTCGGGGGCTCTGTGTCACTAAAGCCCGCCCCTACTTCTCCCTCTCATGTCTCCAAAATTGAGGAAGTAGAAAATATATTATTGAACATTTAATGTTTGTGTTTTTTATATCTGCTGTCAGTTTACAAACGGCTTTTATATCCAACTTAATTTAACTCAGCTGACTGTTTTAACATTCACTAACCATCGTGTTTCAGTCAGTACAGTGTGTGTGTGTGTGTGTGTGTGTGTGTGTGTGTGTGTGTGTGACTGAGGCTGGTGACTCACAGTCTCGCTTGTTCACGTTCAGTCAGTGTTAGTGATGTGTCGGTCATGAACGATTCGTTCAAAACGAACGAATCATCTGGGTGAACGAACTGAACTGAATCATTTACTAAAAAGAGTCGTTCATTTCTCAACTTCAGTTGCGCTCTCCTCTCTTCCGTCTCGTGTCTCAAAGCTCCCGTTCACAGTACGTTCACTGAACGAACTGAACGAGAGTTCCGACGTGAATCACTGAACGAACTGAGAGGGAGAGAGAGACTCAGAGCTCCCGTTCAGAATCAGTACACACAATCACTTTCACCACCCGTTTTTCATATTTTAGGTTTCACTACGCAAATAAAAGATGTACGCAACTAAATATTAGGTTATTAATTATTTTTAATTAGATAAAATGAAAACAATAAAAAATAAAAGTGAGAAACATAAATTACAGTGCAATTAATAAAAACTCAAAAGATAAAAAACAATAGGCTATCAAAAAGAAAATACAAAAAAGTAAATATAGACTAAAACTACAGTGCAAAAACAAAGGTAGAAACTATTTACAATGGTCTACATTTTAAAAATGTCACAAACAAAATATTAACTTAAATGTGCAATCACAAACAAAATAAACTGTAGTGCAAAACAAAGTCAAGAGACAACAAAAAAAATCACCAGCATGCCAGGTGAGCAATATTGTTGCAAACAATGTGAATATCAGTGAAAATTAAGATTCATTGATTTTCTTCTAATAATCTTCAATTAAGATTACATGTTCAGGTTTGCATTGATGAATACCAGCTGACGGACCTTTGAAGAGCTGAGCCGGCTCCTTCTCTCTGAAACTATCTGCCCCGTTTTACTGAACACTCTCTCAGACGGGACAGATGTGGCCACAATGCAGAGTCTCCTCTTCATGAATTCACAGAGTCTGGGATATACCACCCTTCTACTTTGCCACCAAGTGAGGGGGTTTGAGGACCTGGGCACCAGAGGCTCCTCTATAAATCCACGGACCTCTAGCACAGAATCTGCAGTTGGATTGCGACTGCTTGTCACAAGCCCAAAAACCTGCTCATCAAACTCTTTCCAGACTGCACTCTCCTGTGTGGCGCTCCCCTCTTGTGCTTCTGCTCCCTCTTCTTCTCCCTCAGCCTGCTGGTTGGGGAATGTCATCCTTGCTGCAGAATTGCAGAGGCGATGAAACACATTGTCAGCTGCCTCATCCTGCCGAAAGGCCTTCTTCTTGAACCTCGGGTCAAGTGCTGCTGCCTCAGAGAGCAAAACATGGGACTCTATTTTATGGAACCGGTGAGACATTTGGGAACAGATGTTGTCCACCAATTTCCTAACTGGTTCACTGAGGTTTCCAGCAGCTCGTTGGTGGCTTGATGCAATCTTTTGAAGACCTCTTGCCAAAAGGATGACTTTTGAAGCTGTCACATACCTGAGTGAAAGAGAAAGAAGGATTAGGCCTCTTAGTGATAATAATATGCATGTTGTTATTATTAATACTAGTATAACTATTAGTAGTAATCGTTGTAAAATGATCATATTCATAATCATTAGTTTGAAAAATAGCAATGAAAAGCTCTAGCTAGGAAGTAAGATAAAGCCTTTGAAGCTCCTCTGAAGTCAAGTTCCCGTGGTGATGACCTAGAGTAGCTTGATTGACAGGTTTATGACTTTGTTTTGATGTGACTGTGCAAGTGAAAATTAGGCCTTCAAAATCACAGTATTATCACGACAATGCAATAATATTGAAAAACACGTACCCTTCACCGCTTATTTCAACTGTGACCTCCTCAAAGGGCTTCAGAACATTGCAGGCCTGTTGCATCTCCTCCCACTCTTCTGGAGATAGGGTGGCCAGTCTAGGATTTGTTAAGGCCAGTGTTGTGATGACAGCCTCTCTGTTCTGCAGTATTCTCTCCAGCATGTAATATGTTGAGTTCCAACGAGTTGGGCAATCCTGTTTTAGACGCAGTTCTGGCAACCCCAACTGGTTTTGTGTGGCCTTCAGTTTTTCAGAGGCAACTGTGCTCTTGTGCATGTATTCCACAATTGCCTTGACCTTATCTACTGTAGGTTTAATAGCAGCAATGCCACTATGTACAATGAGGTTCAGGGTGTGGGCAAAGCAGAATAGGTGGGGCCAACCTGTGTTCTGGATGGCCTTCACAACATTGGCAGCATTGTCAGAGACACAGGCAACAACTTTATGCACAATGTTCCACTCCCTTGCAACCCTCAAAAGTTGCTCTGCCAGATTGTCAGCTGTGTGCCTGTCGCTCATTTCCAAACAATCTAGCAGGACGGACACATTTTTAAAGTCACAGACATGAAGGAAGTTGTTGTCCTGGATGTCCAGCAGTCTGTGGTGAGACACATTGCTTCAGCTTTATCCACTCTTTCTTGAACTTTTTCATGTGTCCTCCTGTACAGCTCTGGGATACTTGAATTTGACAGTGTTTTGCGGCTTGGCAGAACATAGTTGGGGTTCAGTTCCTTTGTGTATTGCCGAAACCCCTTATCTTCAACAATGGAAAAAGGCTGCAAATCAAGTGCAATCATCTTTGCCAGCACCTCATCCATTGCCCTTTGCCTCATGGGGTCGATAGGCCTCGACACAAAGTGAGTGAGGGTGGCTTGTGCACGCCTTGCTCTGGGCCTATCTGTTGCCCCTTGTGTGGATACAGCAGTGCGAGTACTGGCTGGAGCAGTGCTGGTGCTGCTGCTGTCTTCTACTGTAGGAGCAGGCTGAGGCTCTTGTCTTACCTGTTCAAGCTGCACAGTTGGATGTTTTGACTTTAAATGTCTGTGGAGATTTGCTGTTGACCCACCTTTGGTGGAGAGCTTTGCTTTGCAAATCGTGCATGATGCGGCTGCTGGTGGAATAAATTCAAATAGTGTCCAGATAACTTCTTGACTCACTCATCTTGTTTATTCACTGTCTTACTCCTTTGATAATGGGGGAAGGGTGTTTGTTCATGAGGGTACATGGTCAGGGTGATCAGGGGAACATACCAAGTAACAGGGGAAAGAGGGGAAGGGACCTTAGAGGGGGATGGTAGGGGGAAATTCAGTAGAGTGACCTTAAGTTTACAGTAAAAATGAATTTTTTAAGTGTGTATGTGTGTGGAGGGTCAAGTTAGGTCAACTGAGACATAGTTTTTTGCAGATTTTGACAACTGTCAATGTAAATCTGTGTGTGTGTGTGTGTGTGTGTGTGTGTGTGTGTGTGTGTGTGTGCTTGTTCTGTGGGGTCACATCTCCCTAATAATGGTTGAGTCCAGGTGACAGATAGTTTCATAACAAAACAACAAAAACACTTTTTATATTGACAATATTTGTATACAATTTGCATGGCCATGCATTTACATCTACAGTTAAGACATTAAACAAAGCTGCCTAATATATAATCATAGTTTGTTTAAATAAAGCAGCCCTTGCCAACAAAGTAGCCTAAATTAGCCTATATTATTATTTTAAAAATCTGCTTATATAATTTAAAATATAACTGTTCTGGTACAGGATATATTTGTTGCCATGCATATTTTCTGCATGTAGCCTATATTAAGTTAAATTAATTGTCATTCATGATAATGTTTGCAAACTGAAAGCTTCATAACAACAAGCACATACATTTTTCGCGACACCCAGCTTAATTGTTATTAATTAATGATCGTACAAATCATTGACTGACTGGTGAAAGTGATTGTGTGTACTGATTCTGAACGGGAGCTCTGAGTCTCTCTCTCCCTTTTAGTACGTTCAGTGAACGAACTGAACGAGAGCTCCGCTCTTCCTCTCAGTTCGTTCAGTGATTCAGGTCGGAGCTCTCGTTCAGTGAACGAACTGAACGAGAGCTCCTCCTCTCTCTCTCCCTCTCAGTCAGACAGTCAGTGAGTGATTTGTGTTCTGAACGTACTAAACAGAACGGTTCTACTGATTCAGTACACTGAAAAGAACTGCTTTTCACATCACTACTTGAAAGCCTGCCTGCAGGGCGTGTGAATAATGCATCTGAGAGACTCCTCCCCCGAGGCGGGACACAGACTCGACGTTTCTTAAGACTCGCCCGCGCGTGTCTTTTTGTTTTGGGAGAAGCATCAATCAAACGCGCCTATATGAGCCATATTCATGCATAAATATTTCAGCTGATGAATATTGACATTAAAGAGGAAGTGCTGCGGGGTCGGGGGCTCGGGGGGCTGTGGGAGTTTTGACGGATGGTGTCCAGCACTTGGTCATGGTCCGGGTACGGGGTTCACTCAGAGTCTGTCTTCTAACATGGACTCTGTTTGTCCTCCAGTCTCACTGTACTTCTCCTCTCACAGAGGATCATTTAAACTCTTCAAACAGGGTCAGTCTGAGGATGTCTTGGGTTGGGAATCAGAGGGTCACCAGTTCAAGTCCCGGCACGGACAAAGTCCAGAAATTAGTCTGGTAGCTGGAGAGGTGCCAGTCCACTTCCTGAGCACTGCCTATGTGCCCTTGAGCAAGGCACCAAACCCCTAATAACTGCTCTGGAGCACTCACTGTGGGCAGCCCCCTCACTCTGAGACCTCTTAATTAGTGCATGTCCACAGGATCCTGTATGTGTATTTCAGACTATGTTTGTGTTCATGTTCATTAAACAGAGTGTAAAAACTGAATTTCCCCTTGCGGGATAAATAAAGGATAAATTATTATTATTATTATCTTGTCTTTTTTCTGTCTCGAGGTCATCATGGTGCATTTAAAGCACTTGGTGGTGTTCAGTAAATAAAACTTCTGGAGTGCTGCTTTAATGTAAAGACTCCTCAGTTGAAGACAACCAGTGAACAGAGGAGGTGGGCAGAGAGACTCGCGGGCTGGGGGTCTGTACTTCCCAACTGTCAACGTTACTGTAGGCTGAGATCTCGACTGGCGTACAGGTAGCTAGCAGGATTACAAACTCCACATGGTGAAAACAGATGGTACTATAAGAGCGACACAGCTGAATACTAACAGACCAACGATGAACGTGAGGCAGACCCTCACACAGGAAGACACTTCAAACCTTTTTACCTCTGAGGGACCCTCAAACACTGACTGAGACTTATATTCTGGATTATACGGTAAATGAAAAGTGACCCTCAGATCAATCTAATTGATTATAGTTTAAGGCATGCTGGGTGAAACTGAAGAGTTGGAGTCTGTCTCTTTAAATGAGTCAAGTGTTCTCAATGATGAACAGAAATAAGAAGTGTGAACTCTTTTCTCTAGATCTTACAGTTCATGTGTGGAAACAACTAAACCAGAAAACCAAGAGACGTATAAAGAAAGAACGAACAGAGCCTCTTGGCCTAATTATATCTGAGGAGGACAAGCCACCCCCCCCCCCCTCCTGTGTAGATAAGGGGGGTGGGGTGGGGGGGGGCTCTAGAGCCGCAGGGCAGATCTTCAGAAACACTAATCTGTTCTGACTGTTCTCCGCAGCTCCACCGTCTAACAGAGAGACGTTCAGAGTCACTGTGCAGCGCTCACATAACCCCCTGCCTACCCCCTCACTATCTAACCCCCCACTGCACCCTGCCTGCCGTGCCTACACGCGTCCGCCTGTGAGGAGGGGGTATTACCCAGGGGGAGGGCTGGAGTACTGCCCCGGGGCAAGGAAGAAAAAAACATCACCCTGAGGTACCAAAACACTCTCCCTCTGCAGAATCAATTTTATACTGAGACACATTTAAACTTTTCAAAAAACTGTTTATACCGCTACACATTTAAACCTTTCAAACTACTTTATAGTGTTTCACATTTGTATCTTTAAAAACAGTTTTACACTGTTACAGTGGGACGTACTGGGTAGGGTGCAACCTCTGAGCACCTCTTAGGAACAGGGATACCTGTTTATGGCTACCAACTGTACCGCTGTCCATGTCAGGATGCTGACAAGAGATTGCTGCCACATAGACCTTCAGGGTAGGGGGAGATCGTCCCTTGTCTAGTAAGTCCTGCAAGAATTTCAATATACAGTGGACAGTGGACAGGGTACTGGGTCCAGATCTCTGTGTTGACATAAGCCGTCGAAAAGCATTCACAATACAAGAGGACGGGGCCCGTGCATTCAAGATAGCATTCCTGACGACAAGGCTCCCATTGTCCAACCAAAGGGCAGACCCCCAGCGGTAGGCGACTGAGTTGGGTTGCAGTGTCCAAGGCCTCCCCTAGTGGGGAAGCATATTGGCAAGCTGTAACAGAGCCTGTGCAGCAGAGGAAACCCAGTCCTGACCAGAACCGGGCCACCAGGAGCAGCCTGTGATCCTCTTGAAAAAATAAATAAATAAATAAAATAATCAACTTTATTGTCATTACACATATACAAGTATAGAGTAACGAAATGAGGTTTGGCATCTCACCAGAAGTGCAAATAAGCAGAAAGTGCAAGAGTCTGTGCTATGTACAGTAATTGAGTGCAAGAGTCTGTGCTATGTACAGTAATTCTGTGCTATGTACAGTAATTGCAAAATTTACAGATGTAGACAAAAAAAGTGAATTATTTGGTAAATCTGGATGGCTGGATTAATGGGATGCAATAAATATAAATAAATGCTATAAATAAGTAATGCTACAAAATAAGTGTGTTCTTAGGATTATAATATACAGATTAAGATGCAGTGAGCATGCTATACTAATAATATACAGATTAAGGTGCAGTGAGCATGCTATACTAATAATATACAGATTAAGATGCAGTGAGCATGCTATACTAATAATATACAGAATAAGATGCAGTGAGCATGCTATACTAATAATATACAGATTAAGATGCAGTGAGCATGCTATACTAATAATATACAGATAAGATGCAGTGAGCATGCTATACTAATAATATACAGATTAAGATGCAGTGAGCATGTTATACAAGTTTACAGATAATTTAAAGAATATGAACATACTATAATACAATAATACAGATGGATGAGAGATGTGTGTGTGTGACCAGGAGGAGTGGTGGGGGGATGATGGGTGTGAGGTGATATGGAGGGGAAAGGGGGGTCAGCAGGGTGCGGAGAGAGAGAGGGAGAGAGAGAGAGAGACAGAGTTCAGAGTTCGGGGGTAGAGTTCAGTAGAGAAACAGCTCTGGGGAAAAAGCTGTTCCTCAGTCTGCTGGTTCTGGTCCGGAGGCTTCTGAAGCGCCTGCCGGAGGGCAGGAGGGTAAACAGTCTGTGGGCAGGGTGGGAGGAGTCTTTAAGGATGCCATGAGCTCGCCGCAGACAGCGTTTTCTTTGGACATCCTCAATGGCAGGAAGTGGACACCTTGTGATGCGCTGGGCGGTTTTTACCACCCGCTGTAGCGCCTTACGGTCTGCGACAGAGCAGTTTCCGTACCAGACTGAGACACTGCTGGTCAGGATGCTCTCGATCACACAGCGGTAGAAGTTCATCAGTACAGCTGAAGACAGGTGGTGTCTCTTCAGTGTCCTCAGGAAAAAGAGGCGTTGATGAGCCTTCTTAACCAGACTGGAGGTGTTAGTGGACCAGGAGAGGTCCTCTGTGATGTGGGTCCCCAGGAACTTGAAGCTGGAGACACGTTCAACAGCCATCCCGTTGATGTGAATGGGGTTGTGCGTGCTTCCTCTTTCTCTCCTGAAGTCCACGATGATCTCCTTCGTCTTGCTGGTGTTGAGGAGCAGGTTGTTGTCAGCACACCAGGCGGCCAGATGCTGTACCTCCTCCCTGTAGGCCGTGTCATCGTTGTTGCTGATGAGGCCAATCACCGCTGTATCGTCCGCAAACTTGATGATGGTGTTGGATCCATGTACAGGTCTGCAGTCGTGGGTGAAGAGGGAGTAGAGGAATGGGCTCAGCACACAGCCCTGTGGTACGCCTGTGTTGAGTGTGATGGTGGTGGAGCAGGTGTGTCCTGACCTAACATACTGGGGTCTGTTGGTCAGAAAGTCCATTATCCAGTGACGGAGGAGTTGAAGCCCAGGTCTCCGAGTTTAGTGTTAACTTGGAGGGGATGACAGAGTTGAATGCTGAGCTAAAATCAACAAACAGCATTCGTGCGTATGTGTTGTTATTGTCCAGATGAGTGAGCACAGAGTGCAGCGCAGTGGAGACTGCATCCTCTGTACTCCTATTGCTGCGGTAGGCAAACTGGAATGGGTCCAGTGTGGGTGGGAGGCAGTTTTTCAGGTGTGCTAGGACCAGTCGCTCAAAGCACTTCATTATGATGGGTGCCACAGGGCGGTAGTCGTTCAGGCCTGTCGGGCTGGAGTGTTTCGGCACTGGGACAATGGAGGTGGCTTTGAAGCATGCTGGCACAGCTGCTTGGGCGAGGGACAGGTTGAAGATGTCCGTAAAAACCCCAGTGAGCTGCTCCGCACATGCCTAAGCACGCGCCCGGGGGTGCCGTCTGGACCAGCAGCCTTTCGAGCGTTGATCCGGCTCAGTGCAGCGTGGACGTCTGTGGAGGTGAGTGAGAGGGGCTGGTTGTCTGCAGGAGGTCTGTTCGTGGTCTGCGTCTCTCTGTTGTCTCTATCGAAACGAGCATAAAAGTGATTTAGCTCGTTCAGGAAGGAGACATCTGTGGTTATCGGGGTGGAGTTTCTGGGTTTATAGTCACTGATGGCCTGGATGCCCTGCCACATGCGTCTGGGGTCGGAGTTGGAGAAGTGTTCCTCAACCTTCAGCTTGTAGCAGTGCTTGGCCTTGATGATGCCCCTCCTCAGGTTTGCCCTGGATACGCTGTAGGCCATTGCATCATCTGATCTGAAGGCGGTGTTGCGGGCCTTCAGCAGGAGACGCACCTCCTTGTTCATCCATGGCTTCTGATTTGGGTACGTGGTGATCTGCTTCCATGTTGTAACACTGTCGATGGTGGTGTTGATATAATCCAGCACAGAAGAAGTGTAGGTGTCAATGTCTGTGTGAGAGCCCAAGGTAGCCTGCGAAGCAAACATACTCCAGTCTGTGTGATGGAACTTGTCCTGAAGTACAGAGTCTGTCCCCGCTGGCCACACTTTAATCGTTGTCACTGATGGCTTCACACGTTGGATGAGTGGGGAGTACTTGGGGATGAGGAACAAAGAAAGATGGTCTGACTGTCCCAGGTGGGGGAGGGGGTCGTGGTGTAGGCTCCTGCGATGTTTGTGTAAACATGGTCCAAGTTTTGTTTCCTCTTGTATTGCAGGAAACATGCTGGTGAAATTTAGGGAGCACTGTCTTTAAGTTTGAGTGATTAAAATCACCTGCAACTATAAATGCAGCCTCCGGGTGAGCAGTCTGTTGTTTACTGATAGAGGTGTAAAGTTCCTTCATAGCAGCTTTTGCATCGGCATCAGGGGGGATGTAGGCTGCAGTTACAATAGTGGAGCTGAGCTCCCTTGGCTGATAGAAAGGTCTACATTTAACCATGAGAAACTCTATGTTAGCTGAGCAGTGTCTCCCAGTAATGACAGAGTCTGTGCACCAAGCTTTGTTAATATAATTGCACAGCCCTCCTCCTCTGGTCTTACCGGAGTCCTCTGCTGTTCTGTCTGCTCGGTGTGTGTGGCGACCGGCTAGCTTGATAGCATCGTCCGGTACTCCGTTGTTTAGCCATGTTTCCGTGAAGATCATGACATTACAGTCCATAATTCTCTTGCTGTGGATGATGCGAAGTCGTAACTCGTCCATTTTGTTCACCAAAGACCGCACATTAGCGAGGAAAATGCTGGGTAACGGGAGACGGTGCGGTGTTAGCTTTAGCTTAGCCCTTATACCTCCGCGCTTCCCCCGCCTTTGTTTACGGTCTCGACGCCGCCTGCGAGCACTTCCGCCCGGCCGGGTAGAGTGCGTAGCCTCGGGTGTTTTGGTGATCTCAGGGATGAGTCGAAGATTGTTGATTAAATCGTCAGGGAGGTGTATTCCGATATCCAAAAGTTCCTGTCGGGTGTAGGATGTTAAGGCGAGGCTGTTCCGTGCGAACAGACCCGAAATTAACAATAAAATTACTGCAAAATTGCAAATTTGAGAGAGACGCTGGGCCTCGCGATGCGCTCGCGCCGCCATCTTGAAGGACTCTCAGGAGTGTTGGAAATATGAGGGACAACCGGGGAAATACATAGAGGAGGACATTCAGCCCGTCGTGGGCCAGGGCATCTTGGTCCACAGGACTTGAACTGTCTGCCAGGTAGAACCTCAGATGGCAGTGGGTCAACTCCCTGGAGGTGAAGGGATCCACCTCTGCCCTTCTGAAGTGGTCCCACATGTCTTGCGCTACCTCTAGGTGGAGTCTCCATTCCCCAGGTAGAGGCTTCTGACGAGATCAGGAATCTGCAGGTTCTTTCTCCCTGGTATATAGACAGCTCTTAAGCTGGCTAAACGAGGGGCTGCCAAGGTCAGTAGACGCTGCATTGCCTGCAACAGTCTCACAGACTTGGTCCTTGGTTAATATGAAACTCTGCGGAGGTGATGTCCAACCACACTAAAACGTGCTTGCCCTTCAGATATGGGAGGAAATGCTGAAGGGACAGGTATATTACCTCTAGCTCCAGAACATTTATGTGGTCTTTGCAGAGGCTTGCCGACAACCTCCCCTTAGCGATTCTCTGTCTCTGTCTCTCAGTGTTATCTCAGAGTATTGCTTCTGTTTAATACAAAGTGCTGACATAATTTCTTTAGATGTCAAATGTAATAAATATGTGTCACAGATGTTGTATTTTTTCCTGTTTTTATGTATCTATGTGTCTCAGAGTGTAATCTAAGTCAGATCTGAGTCAGGAAATGTTGCGTCTATAAGACAGCTAGCTGAACTGATTGCAGCTCTCTCGGCTGCATCAGTGATGTAGAACCAACTTGGCCCATCTAATGAGCTCAGCGGGGCTCTAATCCATCACAGTGACACCTCCAGGCCCCTTATTACCCACCATGCACAGCTCTAACAGGAGTGTGGATGTTTCTGTGTGAGGAGGCGCTGATGAGAGGAGATGCAGATGGTCTAACTGTTGTTTATCTGTTTCTGTCTCTTTTTGTCTCAACTTTAGAAGATTACCAATGTGTCTGTCAGTGTGGATCTGTTTAATGTTGGTAAGTATTGATCTGTTTGTCTGGGTGAATACTCGATTCTGATTGGCTGAAGGGTGTCATGTGACTATACGCATAATGATTGATGATGTGGTTGTCGATTACCTTTTGATACATGGACACCTATGGAAGTAGTTCCAGTTAAACAGCCTGTTCACTGTTCCAAATGAATGCGCTGCAGACGGTATCTAAGATGAGTAACCATAGCAACATAACCCTAACCCTAGCCTATATCTTGTCTGGCCTATAAAACTTGCTGGCAATGGCATCAGCTGGCTGCAAACTCCGCGACTTTAGAAATAATTAAATGAAAAACAATGTGAATATCTTATCCCAAGAGTGTGGTCCTTCTGTGCACCACAAGACGCAGTTGTAACACAGAAGCTGCAAGAAGGAGCCTAAACTCAGGGCTGTAATGTTAGTACTAAACTACAGTCACTTTAGTTCAACTGTTAAACTAAAAGTGGCCGCTGGCTAAACTGTCTGATGCTCAGTGATGATCTCATTAAAAGGTGAATGAGCCCTAAGTTGGACTTGCAAAAGGTTTGTAATGATAGAGTTTATGCATGTTTACTAGCCACTACAGCCCTTTCTCATTGTCCACCTGAGCTGACAGTTAACACTTCAGGTTTCGCCCGATAGTACAGAGTACTGATCGTCATTTTCTTCATGACCTTTTTCTTGATTTGCAGACAATGACATGGCTGGCTGACCAGCTAGACTTGTTGTTAAACAAACTGGCTGATAACATGTACTGTTTGTCCACCAATATGTCAGAACATAGAACATTCTAGGATTGTTATGATTGTTTCAGCTATTAGTCAAACCCTTGGGTGTTGTCAGGGTAACGAGTTGTTGTTTATTAAAAACGTCATATTTTGTCAGCAAAAGGCATGAAAATATGGATGGATGGTTTTATAATTTTTTCTCTGGCAGGTGACCATTGTGTTAGCGACATAATGAGGTTTGATGTGTCCATTATCAGGAAACAATGGACGACGTGGCGGCCTGAACCGGTTTAGGCCTGCACTTCTTCACATGTACACGATCTCTTACTTAATCAATCAGTCGATCAATCAGTCACATAACCAAATGTTGAGTAGATTTTCCTACATCAGTCTCTTCTTAAATATGAAGGAGTTTTTTTCTCACCCATGTCACTGCAGTTGTCCCCGCTCTGAGAGACGTGTCCCCCGCTGGACGGCCCTGGGGTCCCTATGGATAGCGTGGAGTGGGTGTCGTCCAGGTCTCTCCAGGACGCAGGATTCTGAAGGAAAAGACAGGAGGTTAGGGTTAGGTGTGGGTTCATCAAACTGACACACACAATCTGACTGTTAAACAACTAACAGCTGTGTGTGTGTGTGTGTTTCTGTGTGTGTGTGTGTGTGTGTGTGTGTGTGTGTGTGTGCGTGTGCGTGTGACACACCTGAACGATATGGGGTTCAGAATCAGAAGACACATGTGACTTTGTCAAAGTAATAATGACGGTTAAACATAATAACACACACATTAAAGAGTGTGTGTCAAACATGTGGTCAACCCCCCCACGTCCCCCCTTATTAATCCTGTTTACTGAATCCTTGAAAAATCGCAGCAAACACAGCTGTACTATCATCATCAGCATCTTCATCGTTGTTGGCGGCTCGTCGTCTCTTCACAGCAAAGAATAATGTTTCAGATTGAAACATTAAATTAACTTATTAAATATAAGTTAATTATTTCAGATCAACGTGTATCATTCTCATGAGGGGTTAAAGACAAGACAAGTATAAACACACCTGAAGATCTGACTGTAGTGTGAACACACCTGAAGATCTGACTGTAGTCACCTGAAGATCTGACTGTAGTGTGAACACACCTGAAGATCTGACTGTAGTGTGAACACACCTGAAGATCTGACTGTAGTCACCTGAAGATCTGACTGTAGTATAAACACACCTGAAGATCTGACTGTAGTATAAACACACCTGAAGATCTGACTGTAGTGTGAACACACCTGAAGATCTGACTGTAGTGTGAACACACCTGAAGATCTGACTGTAGTGTGAACACACCTGAGATGCCGAAGTTATAAACTAATCCTAACCAAGTGACCTACAGGATGATAAGTGATGTGTTGCTATGACGACTTGGGTCAGAATACAACTCAACGTCCGTGCACACTCACAATAAAAAAAAAAAGGTAAAATAATAATGATCTGTCACTTCCTGTCAGATTTTCAAAGTAAAGATAAACACATGATGATGTCACTCAAATTGTGTTTAAAAGTTCCAGAGAAAATCTCACATAAACAACATTTATATTATAATATGTTCATAAAATATATGATAATATGACATATAAAATAGTAATATAATAATATATTACACACATACAGTATATCTGAAATCAATTGAATCTTTGCTTTCAGGATAAAAGATTAAAAAAGAAGTTACAACATGAACTCCAACCCCTTCATAATTTTTCTCCTAACAGTGGCGGTTCTAGACCACTTTCTAGACCCAGGGGGCCAAACTGGGGCCAGTTGTTTTGTCAGAGGGGAACATTAAACCCAGGTGGAAAATAGACAAAGATGATTGCTTTAAAAAAAAAAATACTATGCCAAATAATAGCACACATCATTACATACCACAACCTAAAATATCATGATTTATATTTGTTTCAGTAATAGTATTTAATACTAGATTGTGAGTCAAATACTGTGTATGTATTATTAGGGGGACTCTTTTGGAGGGGTGGCCACAGGGGGGGACCAAGCTTAGTGTTACAGGGGCACTGGACCCTGTTGGCCCCTGCCAAGAACCGCCCATGTATCCTAGGATTTCCCCCTTCTGCATCAAATGCAGGAAACAGGTGCTTACATGCATTGCTTGTGGAGCTGCCCTCTGACTCTCACAGGAAATTAACTTAACTTTGGTAAGAAAATACAATATATCCGGGTTTGTTTCTGTTAAATCTTTCAGATGAGAGGCCTCCTCTGATAAGTGTCCAGCAAAAACGTCTGAACAAGCTCATTCTATTACCAAGAGATGCATTTTATGTCAGTGGATTAAGTCCAGATCTCCATCTATCTGTCAGGGGTAGGGGACATTTTTAAAGTTTAGCCAATGGAGCACTAAAGCTCAGTGTTGAAGGAGAATGAGAGTTTCCTTCATAAGCTATGGGTACCATCCTAAATCACCTGCAATATGGCACAGCAGGCCGAGTATGCAGGAGGCGCTGCAGTGTTGACCCCTCCTGTACCTCTGTGTATACTTCATGCTCTCTGTTTTTTGTTGTATTTTAAAGCCCTTCCTCTGACTCCCTGATCCGTCATATCTGAACTCTGTGATAAAGAAATGTATGATACAGTGCAGTCGTTCAAAATATGTTGTTGTTGTTTGAATGTCTTTAAATCCCATGTGGTCTGTCGTTGGCTCAAATAGTCTTAAAATGTTATTTAAATGTATTATATTTATTATATTTATTATTTTATAATATTAAAAGTGTTATTATTGTGTTCTTCACTATAGTGAATAGTTTCAGCTGATAACATATCTACACTCCTGCACTTTAACATATATATCTTTGATTGCACAGCCACGAATTTGCACAGCTCTGGAGAACCCTCTATATTGTTATTACACATTTACCACTGTCATCACTGTTTCTACAAACTTACATCTCTTACCTCCAGCAAGTATTTTTACATTCAGTTGCCAAGCCTGAATAAATGTTGTATTTAATTTTTAATTTTTTAAACCAGTAAGAATGTTAAGTTAAATCCTTGATGTATAAATCTCTTCTTATATTTTATATCTTAAGTGCTTATTTACTTTGTCTCTATTCTTATATTGTTTTATTTGCTCTGATAACCTGCTGCTGTAACACCACAATTTCCCAGTTTGGGATCAATAAAGTCATTCTATTCTAATCTTTTGTTTTTTTCCCTCTGTTTGACGTCACTGCGGCATCATCCAAACCTGAACCTAGCGAGTCTAACGCTGAGTGCACGAGCTCTGTGATAAAATAAAAATAAGTCTCGTTATCAATAAATAACGTAATCAATCAGGTGACTCACGTGGTCGGCCAGGTGTGTGGAGGACCCGGACAAGTCGTCAAAGTCCGACTTGCAGCCGTCACGATCGTCGATGACCAGGTCGATGGGCATCTTCCCCTTCAGACAGCTGATGTACCTGTGACAG